TCCTCATAGGGCTTGTTCTCCAGACCCTTGATCATTTTAGTCGCCCTCCTCTGGACATTCCAGCTTGTCAATCTCTCTCTTGAATTGTGGGGAGATACACAAACAAACATTACAGTTTTATTTATATAGATTTGGGTCTTGGATTGGATGCCCCTTACATCTCTTCTATCTATCCATATCAGAACTAGCCCCTTTATACCTGCTTTTAAAATATATTTTCAAAGGGTCTTAAGACTATCTGTCTGTCTATAAACACACACACACACATGACCATTAGTTCCGCATATGATGATCTCCTATGTCCTCACTCCTGCCTTTTTTCTCTTTTCAATTAAATCACAAATTTAAGGTTTAATATTACCACTGAAACCTTGAAATCTCAATTTACGAAATACAAAACGTATTTCCGGTGCATTCCCCGGAAGCCCTCCCCCCCGCTCACCTTTTGGCGTGTTCCTGGGCATGGCGACCAGCTCATAGCTGCAGAAACCCACTTCGGAGGAAGTCAGGTAAGAGGGGAACTGGTCTGGCTTCAGCTTGATCCGGTTGAAATGCCTCGATATCGTTTCCTGGGGGAGAAGAGAGGAAAATTAATGCCCGTTCCGAAGTTCGGTTTTCTGCCCTGTGGTGGTAAAAACAGGGCAAGGCGGATTTATAAATTTGCAAACTCCACCATCATCTGGGGAGGCCCTGCTCTCGACCCCACCGCTATCACAAGTGAGGTTGGTGGGGACGAAGAGCAGGGCCTTCTCAGTGGTGGCCCCTCACCTGTGGAACTCACTCCTGGGGGAAATTAGGGCATCAACATCCCTCCTCTCCTTCAGGAGGAAAGTAAAGACGTGGTTGTGGGACCAGGCCTTTGGGCAATCTGACAACTAGATAAGGACAATCAGACGATTAGGACTGACAGGACTGACAATGTGGAATTGGAATTTCGACTATGAGATAGCGAACGCTGACCGTCAATGAGAAGTAATTGGGTTTGTATTGTTTTTATTGTTGTAATGCAGGAACTGCTGTTTAACTGTTGATTGCTGCTATCTGTTTACTACTGTTATGTGATGCTGGCATCGAATTGTGCCTCTGTAAGCCGCCCTGAGTCCCCTTCGGGGTGAGAAGGGCGGGGTAGAAGAAACCGAAATAAATAAATAATACATAAATAAATGCTTAAGATGGAGACGGACTCAAGCCATGGAACGCAGCCCAGAACGTGGGGAAACAATTTGCCGATCTTTCATCTTCCCTCAACCCTCAGAATGGCCTCTTCCAGCTCAAAAGGGCAACTGGAAGTCACATGACATCACTTTCAGCGTTACAAAACATGGGATTTTTGGGAGGATGGCGAACTTCAAATGTAAAATTTAAAAAAATATTTATTGTACTGAAACATTACATCCATGCATATTTTTTTGTATTTTTATTTTTGCAAAATTAAAATAAGGCATTTTTTTTGTCTTATTTTAATTTTGCAGTAAGTTGTGCGATTGCTAGCTGCCTTGAGTCCCTATGGAGAGAAAAGTGGGATCGAAATAGAGTTAATAATAATAATAATAATTACACAATGTAACAAAATTTGAAAAAAAAAATCTGTTCCTGGTTTGAAAGTGTTCATTTCCTGTTTAATTGTGTGGCACTGACGGTGAGAATCGTTGTTTCCTCTCTAGAGACTTCGTTTTTGGGTCTGCCACAAACTATAGTGAATTGGTTGAGGTTCTGTGATGAGATAATCAACGAAAAACTAGAGCAAAATGTGCTATTTTGGGAGGTCCCTCCCGCTGACAAAGTTTGGGTTGCTGTTAGTTTTTCTGGCTGTCTGGCCATGTTCCAGCTGCATTCCCTCCTGACATTTCACCCACATCTATGGTAGACATCCCCAGAGGTTGTGAGTTCTGTTAGTGGCGTCAAACTGCATTAATTTGCCAGTCTAGATGCACCTGTAATTGTCATGTTTGTTCACACAATGCAAGATGGTATACGATTATTTTTTAATAAATAGCCGTATTACCCCGAACCACTATTACTGTATATACTCAAGTATAAGCTGACCCAAATATAAGCCGAGGCACCTAATTTTACCACAAAAAACTGGGAAAATGTATTGACTTGAATATAAGCCGAGGGTGGGGAATGCAGCAGCTACTAGTAAATTTCAAAATAAAAATAGATACCAATAAAATTATATTAATTTTGGCATCAGTAGGTTCAATGTTTTTGAATATTTACATAAAACTGTAATTCAAGATAAGACTGTCCAACTCTGATTAAACCATTATTCTAACCTTCTTCAATGTAAATAGGCTTACACATGCTTCCAATAATAATAAACAGAGTAAAATAATAATAATAATAATAATAATAGAGTAAAATAATAAATGTAACCATAACAATAATAAATAGAGTAAAATAATAAATGTAATAATAACAACAATAAAATAATAAAGGTAATCATATTAATAATAATAATAATAATAATAATAATAATAATAACAACAAAGTAAAATAATAAATAACATTAACTCAAGTATAAGCCGGGGGAGACTTTTTCAGCCTAAAAACAGGACTGAAAAACTAGGTTTATACTTGAGTATATACAGTATATACAGTACTTTTTAATCATCATCATCAGAATGCAAGAAGGGGGCACAAACTAAGGGTAAGGGGAAAAAAAGGTTTAATAAAAATAATTATAAATAAATACAATATGTATAAGTGGATAAAAGATGTGTGATAGAGTTATATGTAGCATAAGTTGTAACGGAAATTTAAAAATAATGATAAGAAATATGATTAAAGATGTTTTTGATGTTTATTTACTGTTAGATTGTATATAATATGGCATACTCTTTTCTCTAAGATACTGTAAAAAGAGAGAAGAATGTATGCTTATACATTTTGTTGGACAAATTTATAAATAAATTCTTTTAAAGTAAAAAAACAAAAAAACAAAACAAAAAACTAGGCTTATACTTGAATATATACAGTATATATGTGGACTAAAAGTCCAGGGTGGGAGAATGAACTCTTGTCTGTTTGAGGCAAGTGTGGAACGTTGCAATTGGCCACCTTGATTAGCACTGAATAGCCTTGCAGCTTCAAAGCCTGGCTGCTTCCTGCCTGGGGGATCCTTTGTTGGGAGGTGTTAGCTGCCCCTTATTTAACTCATTTCTGGATAAACTTTTTCCATGTTTTTATGATAGAAGCAATTAAGAAATGACATTATTAACCAAGGAACAAAAGTATTACATAGTATTGTCGAAGGCTTTCATGCTGGAATCACTCAGTTCTTGTGGGGGTTTTTTGGCTATATGGCCATGTTCTAGAGGCATTTCTCCTGACGTTTCGCCTGCATCTATGGCAAGCATCCTCAGAGGTAGTGAGGTCTGTTGGAACTAGGAAAATGGGTTTATATATCTGTGGAATGACCAGGGTGGGACAAAGGACTCTTTTCTGTTGGTTATAATTTTTATTGTGCTTTAAATATTACATAAAAAGTGAAGGTTGGGGAGGGAGGTAGGATAGAAGAGGGTGGGGGAGGGTAGTTTGGGCTGGGGTAGTGGCGGTAAAGGGGGTTGGGGTAGGGGTTAGGGTTAGGGGGTGTGGCGGTGACTTCCCGCCAGTCTTCCGGGTTCTTCCATTGTTGTTTGTGTTGCTTTCTTCTTCTCCTCCTTGCCAATTCCGACTTTTGTATTTTATCTGTTTCAGAGGCTTGACAGGTCTATGTGTAACGGAGCACCTTCAGTTTTTAAAAAGTCAATAAAACCTATCCAGGTTGTGTCCTTATGTTTACCTTTAAGTCTCTGTGAGAGATTGTCCATTTGTATAATCTCCAAGACTTTTATGGTCCATTCTTCTAGGGTTGGGATCTCCTTTCGTTTCCACACCTTCGCGAGGAGCATTCTCGCAGCAGTGCTGAGGAGGAAGGACATCTTTTCTTGGTTTTTATCTAATTTTATGTTTGTGATTCCTAATAGGTATGTTTCTGGCGTTAGAGGGAATTTAATTTTCATAATTTTTTGGGCTGCAATATGGATTTCCTTCCAGTATCTTTTAACTAATTTACATTCCCACCACTGATGGAAAAACGTCCCTTTATCTTTGCCGCATTTCCAGCACCTATCTGACCCTTTTTTATTAAATTTTGCTATCTTTACCGGGGTGAAGTACCATCGAAAGAACATTTTGTACCAGTTCTCACGAAGGTCACTGGCCTCTGTATATTTTAATTTACATGTCCAAATTTCCTCCCATTGTCTAATTAAGATATTATGTCCTAGATCTCTTGCCCAATTTATCTGACACTCTTTTATTTGTTCCTCCTCCGTGCTCCACGAGAGTAATTGTTGATAAAGAATTTTTATAAGCTTTGTTTTCTTCTTCATTACCAAATCCCAAATTCTTTGGTCCTCACTAAAGCCCAATTTACTGTCCTCCTTAAATTCTTGATAGATTTGATGATAGTTAAGCCATGTCATCCTTTCGTTTTCCTGCTTAATTTCTATCCATGATTTTAACCTTAGATTACTGCCGATACCCTCCTCATCTCTTTTTAGTAACTGCTGATATGTTAGCCATTTTTCTTGTTCTAACTCTCTTTTATGCTTCGCCTCTGTTGGCGAGATCCACAGAGGTGTTTTCGTATAGAATCTGGGTAAGTATTTTTCCCATGTTTTTATTAATGCAGATCTGATGTAGTGATTGCTGAAAGCTTTTTCTACTTTTCTCTTGTTACGCCACAGGTACCCGTGCCAGCCGGTCCTGAGGTCATATCCTTCTAGTGCTAAGAGAGGCCGATTCTCTAAAGTGGCCCATTCTTTTAGTGCAGCCAGATTACAAGCCTCGTAATAAAGTTTAAAGTCTGGCAATCCGAGGCCTCCCCTTTTTTTTTCGTCGGTTAATAATTTTGTACTAATTCTTACTTTCCGATCTTTCCAAATAAATTTTATTATATCAGATTTCCATTTTTTAAATAAATGATCGTTCCTAAGTACCGGCAGAGCTTGAAAAAGGAAGAGAAGCTGGGGAAGGACTGTCATTTTAATTATGGCGATTCGTCCTAATAGAGAGAAGTTTTGGTATTTCCATTTATTTAGGTCCTTTTGGATTTTCCCCCATAATGGCTCGTAATTATTTTTTATTAGATTTATATTACTTTTTGTAATATTTATCCCTAAATATCTTACCTTATTTTCAATCTTTATTTCTGCGAGCTCTTGTAGTGTATCTCTTGCCTTTTGGTCCATATTTTTGGTCAACAATTTGGTTTTTTGTTTATTCAATTTGAATCCTGCAACTTCCCCGAAACTTTCAATTTTGTTTAGCCAATTCTTGATATTGTTGATTGGGTCCTCTACTATGCATACCACATCGTCTGCGTAAACTCTAAGTTTAAATTTGTAGCCTCCTACTTTGATTCCTTTTAGTGTCTTATCCTCATTTATTGTTCTAATTAGTGTTTCCATGACTAGAATGAACAGTAGAGGGGAGAGGGGGCATCCCTGACGAGTTCCTTGTGTTAGCTGTATGGCTTTTTTGGTTTCCGTCCCGTTTATTATGAGTGTGGCTGTCTGAT